AATGGCATCTGAGTTGAGACCGCGGTGCATACAACAATGGATCTAGGGCTCCAGGGAATGCACGAGCCATCTAAACTCCCTTTCTTTTATCGCGCATTTTTCAATCCCTTACTCTAAGCTCCAACTCGTCTGGGTACATGACAGTGTACAAGGACTCAGGTACTGGGCCTAAGCGAGAAAGTGTGCTTCGCTGTTGCCAGCACGCCAACCACAACAGAAAAAGAAGAGACAGACAAGAGATATATATAGAAATGGTTATCTTGGCTGCGTAATCCTTACAGTAACAAGTAATTCTAAAAGCATTATGTGAATATATTTTCTGCTTTCCCTTAAATTGGCTTGAGGAGATTCTTATATAAATAGGCATTACGAGATTTAATATGACATCTTTGGTGCAGCTCTTTTATACCAACTTAGTTTTTCTACTTACTAACAAAAAGAATATCCAATTCAATGGTATCAAATAATACAGACTTATATACATAAATATAATAATGACAATAATAACAAAAGTAAAATATTTGCCTTACCTTACATTCACCTCCTAAGAAATCAGGGATGTTCTCCTTTGGCATGTAGTCAACCAAGCCGCCTGGGCCCTGGTAGTCATTTCCACCATAGAAGAGGAACTTTGATCTGTAAATAATAAAGGAAGATATAAACATGAGTACACAAATAGGTTTATAATTGCTTTTGACTTAAACAAGTATCATACTATACTGGAGCTTTCTGATCGATTCATGAAAAACATTAACAAGATACATATATATGGAGCTTGTAACAAACAACCAAGCTTAGCTTATCAACCAATGTAAAGGGAACAATATTTTCTCTTTTATAACATGACTCAAGACTTTTCTACATATGCTGTTTTCTGTACTACCTTGTGTTGTCATCGATGAATGTAGAAACAAGTGTCCACAGGATCGGGAAAACTCGAGGAGCACGAATTATGAGAACTCGACTCATTGTCTCAGGGTAGTTTGCCTCTACGATCTGCATACAAATGAAGAGCATAAGCTTGTAATATTATAAACGAATAAAGATGAATATTCTCGTGTGGTCATACATTCAAAAGGGAACAACCAAATCCCGAGAATACTGAATATAAAACATAATCCCTTACCTCAATTATCTTTAGTAAGGTCCTAATGCCTGGTCTCCACAGATGCCTCATGTTAAGGCCTTCCAAGTCAACCAGGAGAGTCCAGTTTGTAATTGGCTGACTCTGACTGGCTGTGGCCTCTTCAGTTAGCCGTAGGCCTTCTTCGCAGATGTGCAGAGTCTTTCATGGGAATAAAACATTGTTCAATATAAAAACAACACAATCTGAACTGGCACTAGATACACTTTTTATCTTTTCGTACATTAACTCTTGTCTCCAAAAGAATCTAATGTGCTTATAAACATAACTGTAAGATTCCTTTAGTCCATACACTTACATGTTTGAGCAGTCCCTCTTCACCTACAGACTTCACCAGTCCCTTGACATCCATCTGACCCAGTCTCAGAAGATACAAAGGTCTTCCCTCTGCACAACATTTTAGAATATTAATAGTAGTAATGTAAGCCATATCATCAACTGAGTTACAAACTTGAAAAGTGTTACAACCACTCTCTTTGCAATCATGACAGACCAGACACTTCTAAAGAAACATGGTAATTAAACAAGTAGTGTAGGGTAATAAGTCTAACTTTCTCATTATAATTCAAAGACAGGTAAACCTTATAAAACTACTAACACTACAAAAGAAAGAGGTAAGGAAGAGAAAGACGTCCATACCCTTATCCTGGTGGTGCCAGCCTCCTGGGAAGTAGTCTTTCACCACCTGATTGATCTGGTACTCGTTCATGATCTTGTCAATCTGGTTCTTCTTCCTCCATATCAGGGAATGGCTCAGCATCTCCCGGGCCTTCTCGATGTTGAAGTCTCTCGCCCGCAAGAATCTCAGCAGGCAAGCATCGCTGGGGACCTTTGGAGTAACAGAAGCAGTGGTGCTCAAAACATTATTTTCCTTTTTATTTATCTAATTTTCTATTCTTTTTTCTTTAACTAACTAAGAGGTTATTTATGTGAAATAAGCTTTACATGGAAATCCTAAAGACCCAGGACACTAGATGACAAAAGCAACTAAAATTTCATCCCCTTCTGCTGATGACCTTGAGCAATAATCATCACTAAAACTCATTCACTAAAATCAAGATAATACTTAAGTCCTAGGAAAAACGAATCAAGAACTCCCACACGATAGCTTAAGGAAGATCGACAAATGCAAGGGGGTCCCTCACCTTTCCTTTCTGAAGCTCGCCGACCCATTTCTTGAGCTGTATTAATCTTGACTCCTGGAGTGGGGTCAGGTCACCTAAGCACCTCTTGATATAGTCGGCATCCAGCTTGTTGTTATCTAATTGGCAGGAAATTATAATTGTCAATATTCAGTCCAATCCATCTTATAATGACTATTTCTAACTTTCTGCTTAATCTTCTTCAATGACTTGCCTCTTTAGTTCATGATGAAAGAAGAAAAAAAATCTTGGCAACTGATTCATCTTGAAAAAAATATTATTAAACATATTTCATGGTTTGAAGCATATCCTATTGACAGACAAGAAAGCTTAGGTTTACATGTAATAATTTTAAGCTTTATATTAAGAAACAATACCATTAAAATAGGACTAGCTCTATAAAGCCCCAGCCTCAGTTGGGGTTAAGTTATATGGTGGAAGATGATGACGTACAATAGAAAAAAAAAGTGGGAAAGGAAAAAGAAAAGAAAAAGAAAAGAAAAAGAAAAGAAAAGAAAGAAATAAACAAAGGAAAACTAAATTGAATATCAACTCTTTCAGCAAAGACACGATAGTTGAGAGAGAGAGAAAAAGTAAAATTAATAGAAGTAATGAAAATACAAACAAAGAGGATACTGATATGCTGAAGTGTAGTGAGTGAATTTTCCACACTGGGTGTACTGAAAGGTGAATAGCAATTCAAAAGAAAAGAAAGAAAAAGGGAAAATGAAAAAGAAAAAAGAGAAAAACAATATTAAATGAAAAATTGTTTTAAGTTTGGTTTTCAAGTATGCCTTAAAAACACACACACACACGCACACACACGCACACACGCACACACACACACACACACACACACACTCTCTCTCTTTCTCACTCATTTTCTCTCTATGATTCATTCTCTCACTTATTCACCTACTCCTTATCTGGTAGAAAATGCAAATAGTTCCTCTAAATGGTTTAGCTACATCAAAGAAGCAGAATAGATCCATGTCCCTCATAGATAATAACATATCTACCTGATCAGAAAATGAATAATACAATTACAGCGTCTATTCTTCCCTACCATGTCTTCTATGGGTACCTGAAAGCATCTACACTGAAAAATAATATTACAGGACATACAATAAGCACAAAACAAAATACAAAAAAAAAAATAAAAAAAAAAAAAAATCAAGAAAACCTAAGAAATAAAATAGCTGCATAATAGCAATAATCACAATCCTCTTAATAATAGCACAAAGTCTCGTTTCTCATCTCAACCACCGTAATGCAGTGCAAAAGTGCATCTCATCATAAGAAAGAAATGGACAACAAAAGGGGAAAAAAAGGAAAGAAGGCGATACCCTGATCTGTTCGGCAATTATCCACCTCCTCCGTCACTACGTTATTCAGACACCGATTAATGAACTTTGTGTCTGTCATGAAAACATCTGAAATTTTTCCAAGAAGTTTTAGAATGGGTAAAGAGATTTTATGTTAATATTTTATTTCTATTCTTTTTTTCTTACTAATGAAGGGTTTTTTTCTCTTTTACAAAAAGGGGGAAAGTTATATACATACAAAAGAAAATTAAGTAGTTATTACTATGAATCCCTTATTAGACTTTTACTTTTACAATCAAAATGGTGACACAAAGACAAAGAAGCACTGAAATAATACTCAATTTAGTGATTTAAACAAGTGTTTCTTTTTAACTCAATAAAACATAAGGAACAGCAATAAAACATAGAAATACAAAAAAGTATGCCAAGATGACACATATCTCCATTAATAACAAACTGAAAGACATGATACTAAAGCAAATAGAATGAAAGTAATCAAAAGATCTAAAATGACGGGACAAAAACAAAATGCAGCACAATGACTCATCATAAAAATTTAGCAACAAGAAATCCCTTGAAATTCCTGGTTTAACTGACTGACATTTGATACTGCCTATCTAATCAAGAAGCCAGAAATGAATTAAGAGTCTTTATCTAACCAATGGCAATGACATCTAAATATATCATAGAACATTCTTCCCGAGAAACAAGTAGAGAAAAGAGAGATGGATATGAAAGAGAAATGAAGGTAAATGGAGATTCAGATTTTTTACCTTGCTAATATTTCAAGAGAGCAATTAAAGATTTCTCTCTAAAGAACAAAATCAACCTTCATACTTTAAACTACATCAAGAAAAAATGAAAATGATTTGAAAATAACTTTCTCTTTCCAAACAAGTTCACGATATTAAAGTCACCCATTCTGACTTACGGCACATACCTTCATTGAGATTGATCTTCTCTATGTTGGGAATGTTGGCAGCGGAGGCCCCAAGATGGAGCTCGGTGGAGCCTGTGGAGGGGGTGCTGCTGGTCCTTTCCCTGAGTTCGGACTCCTCGGAGCTGCTCTCAGCCTCACTGCTCTCCTCCTCCTTCTTAACTTCTGTGTCATCACAGATCTCGGCCGTGGCCTTTGTGGTTGGCTCCAACCATCTGGGAACCTCTGTGATGTTCTCCTTTAAAGAAACGTGAGCACTTAC